TATAGGACAGATCACAGTGAAGCAGCTTCACTTTGATCTGAAGATCAAACACCGTTTTCCAAACTCAGAATATTTATGAAGTAATGGGTGAGTCTCAGAAAAAAAACAAGTCTCAGTTGTGACTGATGGCAAAACTCACAGCGCGTTATTGGTGAGCTGGTTGGGAGAAATTATTACTGATAATATCCAGCTGGCTGCCCCTTGGGTGGGGTTTCGTATGTCTTCTGTAGATTGGCAGATGAGGGTAGTGGTGGAACTCATGAATTGCAGTTGTTCTTATCCTATTTATCAAAATGAAATTAGAAGTGTTTAATATCAATATGTGAATGCTGTAAAGTGTCTCATATATAAGGACAAGAATACCTGTACAGGTCTGTCAGTGCACGTACATGTGATTTGTGCAGAAGAGTGGGATTGAGGACAGAGATATTGGGCTGCCACATCCAATATACTGCATCAGCAATGCAGGTCTCAAGCTGTAATGGTACCCAATACCTTCAGTCCAACATTGTGTTCAAACTTCCACATTAGAGGTATCCCTGTTATTAAGGCCTGGCCGAGCAGCATGTTTCATTGGGCAGGAGTTCTCAGTTGGAGGAAACAGATCCCATCATGAACAGTTTCTAGTCCAAGGAAGGACTGTAATGTTTCCAGAGACATTGAGAATGATGTTTAATATGTGGTGGCATGGTTTCTGCTGTGGCTGCCTGTGCCCGCAATGTATGTGTCTGGGGAGGGAGGGAAGAGCATGTGGTTTTGCCAAAGGTGTATGGAGGAAAGGAGGAAGGGGCAGGTGTCTTGCAGTGTGTGCCAGGGTCTGAAATCACACCCAAAATCCCATGTTGTCACACCAGCCCACCTGCATTGGTCCCTGCTCCATAGCCCTCCTGATCCATAGGTTTGTGACAGGGCACACAGGGCAGCTCTGGGCTCAGATGGCTGAAGCCATGTGCCATTTTGGCCCCGCAGAGCTCAGCTCCTGCAAGGATCAGCCCTCAGTCCCCTGCTGCAGGGACATCCCAGCCTGCTTTGGCCTGCAAGGGGCTGCAAATCCCTTCTGCCTCAGGGATAAATTCTTTCAAGAGCTGCTGTCCTCGGGAGTGCAAATCTCCGTTTTTTTTTCTAGCCTGAATTGCCTTTATTTTAGGCTCCAGCTGTTAAAAGCTTGCTGAAAAGCAAGGAAGGGGGTGTCACAAAGAGACCCCAGGATCTCCTGCTTCCTGTGTCTCGGGGTGTGGATACGTGCAGGATCCGGTGCCCGCTCTGCAGGTCAATAACCACGGTGGGTGCCCAGGTGTTACACCCGGCTTTGCTCCTGCTCCCTGCACGTCCTCCCATTGTGCCGCAGCCCCCGGGGTGGACACGGTAGCACCGTGACGGGGACAAAGGGACGAGGGAGAGCACTGCAGCGGCGGGAGAATCGCCTCTCTGAGTGTCTGTCTGCTGGAGGACTGGAGCGGGGAGGAGGAGGTGCGAGGGGGGAGAGAAGCAAATCGCCTTCAATAAATCAGTGAGGAAGAGGGGTGGCTTGATGCGGGAAGGGGTGGGTTGTGGTTGTGGGTAGCCACCTCTCCGCGCTGGCCCAGGTGTCTCCACTCCCCTCCGGAAAACCTGATGCCATCTATTTGCTCACCGCGGTCACGTTTGTTTGGGTGTCTGCTCCTCCCCGGGAAGCGGCAGTGCCACCGCCAGGTACCCTCAGCCCTCGGGGACATCCAGGAACAACAGCCGCCTTGTGCCGGCACCCGCAGCTCCGCACCTCTGGGCACAAAGAGCCGGCGAGAAGAGGAGGAGGAGGAAAGGAGAAGGAAGAGGAGGTGATAAGGGGCTCGCTGCGTCGCCTCATTTCTGCACCCAACACACGGCTCGTGGGGCGTACGCGAGTGCGTGCATCCGCTGCTGGAGGACTACGGCTGCTGCAGCATCTGCGCCGAGCTGCCGGCACGGGAGTGCCAGGGGAACGTGCCTGTTTGCCGCCTGGTCACAAGTGTTGCGATGCGAAAACCGAACGTGCCCGCGGAGGGAAGGATGCGCCGACAGCTGCACCTGTAAGGACAGGAGAAGCTTCCCAAGGCGTTCGGCAGCAGGCAGCCGAGGCTCCGGACTCTGGCACCTCCTCCCTGTGGCTCCGTCGCAGCTCGCTTGCTTGCTTCAGATCTCTTCTTTCAGTGAGAGAAGGAAAAAGCATTCAGAAAAAAGCTCTACAACAGGACAAACCCTGCTGGAGTCTAACAGGTGTTTGCTGGGATTTGAATGGAGAGGGGATGGGTGGGGAGAAAAGTTAACTGGAGAAATTGGGGCTAGGAGAGATGCAATGATCTTGCGCCAAGTCGATGTGCCGTTTCTGCGTGTGAACAGCGCGTCTGGAGCAGCTTGGAGGGATGCCTTGGAAGTCGTCTGTTTGATCTCCGTAGAAACACTCACTTCTGCCTGCAAACTTTCCTCTGCCAGAAGTTAGGGGAAATAAAAAAAAAAAAAAAAAAAAAAAGAAAAAAGAAAAAAAAAGAAACATCAGAAAATCAAAAGGGGAAAATCCCAGCCGACAAAACCGTTTTGACCTAAACTGTTGCATCCTGACGCGGGGCTGCGGTGCGCACATCCATCCGGCGCCTCCCGGGCTCTGAGCCGGTAGGCGCTGGGTGGTGGCTGCCCCAACGTTGGGGACAGCCGAGCAGCATGCTGGCTCTGGCACCTGTGGCCGGCCAGCAGACCCCGTGTGCCTGACCCGCCGGTGGCACCGGGGCCGTGGCGGCCATGGCCGCAGCCATCGCCAGCTCCCTGATCCGCCAGAAGAGACAAGCCAGGGAGCGGGAGAAGTCCAATGCCTGTAAGTGTGTCAACAGCCCCAGCAAGAGCAAGGGAAGCTGCGACAAGAACAAGTTGAATGTGTTTTCCAGAGTCAAACTCTTTGGCTCCAAGAAAAGGCGAAGAAGGCGACCAGGTTGGCAAGGGTTATGTGTTCGGGGGGCTGGTTGGTTTGGTGTGTATTGGGCTGTGCATCAGTAGCGGGAATGTTTCAGGGCTGGTAAAATGGGTGTGCAGGTATTGCTGTCTTGGCTTGTATGATCTGGTAGACATGGTACCCCATGCCAGTCCTCTCCCTATTCATGTTCATCCGATTTATTAAGATATTGCACACCATTGCCTCACTTGCACACCTGTGTGCATCCATGTACTGGTAATTCAGCAATCTCGCTGTTTTACTCATACACATATACAAACACACGTGATTTATTTGTGGGGGAGACATTAGCACCTCCTTCGGCTGTACAGTAAATAACTTAGCACTAGAGATCTGTTTTTGTCCTCCTGCTTTGCAGAATGCCAGTGCCTTGCTTTACTTGCTGATTGCAGAAGAGGCTTTTTGCTTTTGCTGGTACCTTCCAGAGTTCTGCTTCAGTGCCCTGTTCCTTTCTAGGAATCTCATACATGCAGCTGCCTGCAAATGCAATTCCCTCTGTGTCAGAGGTGCTAAAGATCAGGCATTAAAGCTTGGTCCCTGATCTGAGTGGGTTTTTGTATGTGGGAGGAGCAAAACCCTCCAGTAATGTTGTGATCGCTTTGCTGTGCTGAGACAGTGGTGCTGTTAGCCATTGAACCTGTCTGCCTTTCCAAGCTGCCACCCAAGGGCTGCCTTGCTCATAGTTTGCAAGCAGCACTGGGTTTGGGATGGCTAAAATGCCAAAGCAGTGCTTGGTTGATTTTTTTTTTTTTGTCAGATGGATTGGTGAACAAGGATTGTGCATCCGTCACTACCCTTATGACAGTGGGCACGGTGGGGATGGGTTGATGGTTGTACTGGATGATCTTAGTGATCTTTCCCAGCCTTAACAAATGTATGGTTCTTAAAGTCTCCAATAGAAAGTAACGCAAACTGTCATAAGCTTTTGCCTTCAGCTCCTCCTAACATGAAGGAACTGGCTGATAGCAGAGCTCCCTAATATCTTTGGTTACAAACACAAGGACTCTTACCCAGACACTAGAAGTTGGAAATGACACATGCTATCTCCCCAGTGGGTTTATTAAGTAAGTTGTTGTGAAGCGAGCTGCAGAGAATGCATCACCTCCTGACAAGCAGACTTGTGTGAAATGACTACAATGCAGATGTCGTTGGGATTCAGTGGAAGTAGACCTTTTTTTTTTTTT